GGGGGGGGGGGGCTCCGTGCCCCCCCAGTCAGACCCTTTCCAGCACCTCCTTGTGCTGCCCATGCTCCGGGTTGTGCCGGGACACTCCAGCTGCTGGGATGTGGGAGCCGGCAGCCCGGTTGCCGGGTCCCCCCACATGCCCTAACTCCCGCCTGCACTCTGCCTGCAGGACGCCTCCCCCATCACCAGCCTGCAGCTCTCCTCCAAGCGGGTAAGGTGGGACCCCAGGTGGGTCCCCGTGTCCTGCCCTGGCTCTGCCTTGCCCCATGTCATGGCACCAGGGTGCTCAGCTCCCCTCTCCACCCCCCCAGCAACAGCTCTACGCTGGCTCAGCCACGGCGCTGGCCCAGCTGCCCCTGCACCGCTGTGGTGCCTACGGCAAAGCTTGTGCCGAGTGCTGCCTGGCCCGGGACCCGTACTGTGCCTGGGATGGGACCACCTGCACCCGCTACGTGCCCAACACCAAGAGGTAGGTTACATGCCGGGGTGCAGTGCTGGGGCAGCCAGCCTGCCCTGAGGCCACGGTGAGGGGCACAGGGCATGCTGCCGCAGGCCCTGCTCCTCCGCCACCTTCTCGCAGGCGTTTCCGCCGGCAGGATGTCCGCAATGGAGACCCAAACATGCTCTGTTCTGAAGGTGAGCTGGGACCAGGCCGGGGGGGTCAGCCCTGCCGGGGCAGGGAGCTGACAGCCAGGCTGTGTCCCCATAGACCCCCGACGGGGCAGCGTGCCCCAGAAGCAGCTCTATGGGGTGGAGGGCAGCACCGCCTTCCTGGAGTGCATCCCCAAATCCCTACAAGCCCACGTCCTCTGGATGTACCAGCGCACCCCAGATGATCCTCAACGAGAGGTAGGCTCTCCCCAGCTGTGTGCCACTGGCGGGGCCGTGCCGTGCCATGCTGAGCTGACCGCCTGTCCCCGTGGGTGCCGCAGGTGCAGGTGGATGAGCGAGTGGTGCAGACGGAGCGGGGCATCCTGCTGCGCAGCGTGCAGCGCACCGACGCCGGCCTCTACCTCTGTCACGCCACCGAGCACGGCTT